ATTTTCAGATTGTGAAGCTCCTGTCTTAAATTGTTCAGAAGACCTCGTATTTGATGTAGATGATAATTGTACTTCCTATGTAAACTGGACTGATGTAGCTGCATCTGATAATTATGATAGCGACTTAACTGTGTTTTGTAAACCAACTGAAGGTATATTTTCATTCAACAATTATACCGTGAACTGTAATGCAACCGACAGAGCAGGCAATACTGGCAATTGCTCCTTCAGTGTTTACATGTTTGGTACGTATATTCATATAAAATGAGAATGATCGTTGATTTTAAAGTTGTGTCACGTTTACTTAACTGACAATTGAATATTAAGAAATCTAAAGAAATTATATAACAATAATATATACATTATTAAACTAGTAAAATATACTAAATTTCTTGTGTTTTTACTTTGTTTTGTAATAATAAACAGATTTTACTCCACCCAACGTCGTATGCCCGGAAAATATTACTATTGATACTGACGTAGGCATGAAAACAGCAATAGTAACATGGGACTCTGCAGTTGTTGCTGATAACTGTTGTTATGATAATTATTTGTCCTCAAATTATACTAATGGAACTGAATTTAGTATTGGAATTACTAAAGTAATATTCTTAGCTGTGGACTGTTTTGGAAACAAGGATGATTGCGTATTTAGTATCAATGTTGAAGGTATAATTTCTTATCTATCTATACATTTTTTTACCTTCACGCTCAAACGTAACTACATTTTATTTTGTTCAAGTATAAAACTACAGGATTATACTTTTTAAGTAAATCGCTTAATGAAGTTTTATTAGTGAGTGTAATTTAAGTTATGATTTGTTTTGTTTAGACAATGAACCGCCGGTACTTAAATGTCCCCCGAACCAATACTTGAGAGGTGATTCTTACTGCATGGCAACGTCGACCTGGATGTTACCGAATGTAACGGACAACTCTGGGGATATATTAATACCAGTGTGTGATTACGTAAATGGGAGCACATTTTCTGAATTCAGTAGGCCTACCATTGTAACTTGCAATGCCACGGACAATTATGAAAACACTGGCAATTGTACCTTTGCAGTAACAATATATGGTAAAACAAGATTTAATATTTTATGTCTGAATGTTGTTTTTTAAATATTTTTTTTTCAAATAATTAAATAAATAATTAGTCACAATTTGCACAACTAACTGCACTTTATTGAAGCCAGAACATTTGTGAGTATTGCTTATAGTGCCAAAAAAAATATATAAAATTGTTTGTGTTGATTGAAATTATCTCCTTTCTTGGTAAGTCAGGTTGTTTAGGTAGTTTTACAATACGCTATGTTAGACCGTTAGTTGTTACTTTATTTTTAAGATATTAGGTTAACAAAATAAATAATTAGCCCACGTCACATCACCTTAGCATCTCAATCATAAAATAAAATTATAGTCGAATTGTGAATTATAAATTGTAAGAGACACTACTGTTCTCGTGTTTAAAATATGCTACTGATAAAGTACATGTTTACTTAAGTTTTATTAATGCTATAATATAGCTTCTGCAATAGGCATAGTGATTAAACAACAATTGATATTTTTAAAATATAAATATTAGGTATTATATAAAATGTATATAATAATAAACAAACCAAAATATTGTAGATAATGGAACCTAATACATTAGATTGAATAGATATTGAAATCGACATATCCACACGGTGTTCAAATTATTAAAGAGTCTTCTACTATATTTAAACTTTATGAACACAACTAGATTGTCCTTTGTCAAATTCGTGACGCCCTTTGCTACTGATAAATTACATGTTTAATTTAAGTTTTATGTATGCTGTAATAGTCGTAGTGATTAAACAACCATTGATGCAGTTTAAAATATAAATATTAAGTGGTATAAAAAATATACATAATAATAAACAAAAGAATATATTGTAGATTATGGAACCTAATTGATTAGACTGAAAAGCTATGGAAATCGACATAGCCACACTGCAAAAAGTCACTCTTTTCCAGGGGTGGCGCCAGCGGGGACCGGAGGGCAGTGCCGTCGGGGAGAAAAAGAACAATTCGTTGGGGAAAAAAATTATATGTAATTTCTACATATTAGTAGACTCTAAAATCAATTAAATAAGCCTTTGAAACCCATAAATTGTCAAAATTTTCGGGGCTTCGCCCCCTGAACCACTCTCGAAACATTTAAATCGAAGCTAGACCACGCCCACTTTGCTTTCGTCGGGGAAATCTGACCCCTCGTCGGGGCATCGGTCCCCTGTCGGGGACCGTGTCCCCCTCCCACCCACGCCGGGAAAATCCTGGCGCACCCCTGCTCTATTAGAAAGGTTAAAAGAGTCTTCTAGTGTATTAACACATTACATGAAAACAACTACGCCTAGTTAGATTATCCTTTGTCACATTCGCAACGCCCATTATAAATGAATTTCACTATAGTTGAATGTGACGGCAGGAAATAAACAACGTGTTTTATAATAATGATTATGATGACGATGACGACGATGATGAGGATGATGATGATGATAGTAATAATAATAATAATAATAATAATAATATATATATGAATATATATATATATATATATATATATTGCTCTTACTGGTTCAACAATAACTCCTGTCTCTTGGGATTCAATCAACGTAACTGATAACTGCTGTGAAAAAATCAACATAACGTCAATTTATAAACAAGGAGATACGTTCATAATTGGTGAACATTTAGTAGAATATACAGCAACTGATTGTAATGATAACAGTGCATCCTGCAATTTCACTATCATGGTATTAGGTAAATATAGACTCTAATGTATTTGTATCAGCATTAATCAGTTATGTCATGAGTGTGTTCGTAATTTATTTATGTTTATATTTAAATTCAGATTGTGAGGCTCCAGTATTAAACTGTTCTCATGATCTACAATTTGAAGCAGATGATAGTTGCAAATCGTTTGTAAACTGGACGGATGTGACAGCGACGGATAATTACGATAGCAATGTAACTGTATCATGTAACCTAACTGAAGGTATATTTCCATTTAACAACTACACAGTGAACTGTTATGCAACGGACAATTCAGGAAACACTGGAAATTGCTCATTCGATTTCTATATTATTGGTAAATATAATCTGATATCATGAATATGATATTGAATTGTATGTGGCATGTTCAATTTATTATTGCTATTATTTTATTAGAATACTCAGAACAATGATTAACATTATTATTATTATTATTATTATTATTATTATTATTATTATTATTATTATTATTATTATGATTAATATCATTATTGTTAAAATTATTATTAGCATTATAACTGCTTCCGTTGTTGTGGCAACTGCTGCTGCAGTTTTTGCTATTGGTATAACTTTATAAATATAACACTTTGCTTCCTGACGTTATAAATAAAATAATAATAAGATAATCTAAGATAACAGACCCTCAGCCTGTTGTGCCTTATCTATGTGTATATAGAAAAGTTGGATGAACGACAGATATTAGTTACATGATTATTAAGTAATAACATATGTCATCTATCATAACTCTACGACTACGAGCACCAGGGACACTATTGATGGACTTATCATCAAAACGAATACATGAAGGCTTTATTGGTCTTTGGGGTGTCTAGATGTAATGTGCAAAACATCTGTTTTGTGATCATTTAAGTTCATTTGCCCACAATGTTTGTGGGATTTTGGAGTATTTTATATTTTGAAAATTACAGAAAAATTACCATATAGAGAAGAGATATAGAACAGTGCTGGGTAGTCGTAAAGACCCCCTGGCCTGTTCACATTTCGACTGGGACAGGGCCCTAGATAGCACATGTGGTACGCCACTCTTAAAGATCGGTAGTAAAGTGCTATGTAATAGTAGGAGGGTTCAGGGCCCCCTTCGGGTCCCCTTTTGAGTGGGGCCTGGCGCTGCCCACGGGCTTTACGCCACGGTTATGTAGTTTAGACAGTTGGATAGAAGATTTATCAGTGAAAAAGCAACATACAATTTAAATATCGGAATAAACTCTAATATCGGAAGACCTATAATTTTCAACATCAAAAGAGTGACCTAAAACCCCATACGTGTGATCACGCTAACATCTCCAGACTAACCAATTAAATGAAGAACGTGAAGAAATGAATGATCAGGTGGTGTGTTATGTAAATGAACTAAAGCTTGTTCGTCTCGAGGAGAGCTTGTCATTGAGCTTTCTGTTATACAAAAGCCCAAGTGTATCAAAATGACAAAGTCTCTGTTATACAAATGCTTAAGTGTTTGAAATGACAAAGTAAAAAAAGGATGGAGTTTTTTAACTTGATTGAGCATGCATTTTAAAGTCCAAATGTATTGGTTTAAGGAACATTTATCTTTTGATTCTACATCAGATTTATCCAACAAAAAAATCAATGAAAAGATGATGTAGGTTAACAAAATTAACCCCCATGGAGTGAAGATATCCGTAAGACCATCAAAATATAAGAAAATTTAATTATTCAATGTACTGTATATTCAATTGTTGGTGATTTGTTTTTCTATATAATAGATCTTAAGTCACCTAACTTGACGTGCCCAGAGGATATTGTCGTATATGCCGACGCAAGTGTTAATACAGCAGCAGTTTCATGGAACTCTGCAGTTACTACTGACAACTGTTGTGGAGATATTATTTTGTACTCTAATGCTACAAATGGTACTTATTTTACTATTGGAATTACTGATGTAGTATACATCACTTTGGATTGCTATGGCAACAAGAATGAATGTGTTTTCAGTATTATTGTTGAAGGTACTACATTATTTTTATCTTTTCCTTATCAGTAAACAGAAGTTTGCCAGAACCCATAAATCGAACAATTTGATTATTTGAAAATATCCAGCTGTATCTAAATAATGTTCAAAACTAAGTTGTAATTAAATACAACTGACATTCTAGCTGTTTGTTGAACTTATAAATTAAAATTGAAAGAACATTAAATACAAACTTTTTTTTTATTATTTTTAATTGATATTTCCTTTTTAGACAATGAAGCACCAATACTTGGATGTCCTTTGAACCAAAACTTAAGAGGTGATTCTGGTTGCATGGCCACTGCCAGCTGGATGTCACCAAATGTCACAGACAACTCTAGGGATAATTTAAACTCAGTGTGCGATTATGTGAATGGGAGCACATTTTCGGATTATAGCACCATTGTAACCTGTAATGCAACTGATAATTATGACAACACTGGCAATTGTACTTTTACTGTTTTTATATATGGTGAGTTAGGTTTTGTTAGTGACATACTTAATATCAATTTTCTGAAAAAATAAAGGATGTTTTAAATACTCGGCATGAACTTTCAAACTTTACTTATTTTAGTGCGAAGAACATAAATTTGAAACCATTAATATTGATTTACCGTATGCTTTTGTTTATAAGACTAGTTAAAGCAATTGTTCACATCAAAAACAAATTGTTAATATTAATTATGGTATTTTAATGCGTCACAGATGACACGTCCCCAAAAGTCACTTGCCCAGATGATATTATGGTGTGCACAGCTGTAGGAATTGCTTCATTTAATGTGTCCTGGGAAGAAGCCAATGTAACTGAAAACTGTTGTAGTGACGTAAATCTAACTACCAACTACACAAGTGGAAATATGTTAATATTAGCTTAAACGCAATTTTCTGAAAAAATAAAGGATGTTTTAAATACTCGGCATGAACTTTCAAACTTTACTTATTTTAGTGCGAAGAACATAAATTTGAAACCATTAATATTGATTTACCGTATGTTTTTGTTTATAAGACTAGTTAAAGCAATTGTTCACATCAAAAACAAATTGTTAATATTAATTATGGTATTTTAATGCGTCACAGATGACACGTCCCCAAAAGTCACTTGCCCAGATGATATTATGGTGTGCACAGCTGTAGGAATTGCTTCATTTAATGTGTCCTGGGAAGAAGCCAATGTAACTGAAAACTGTTGTAGTGACGTAAATATAACTACCAACTACACGAGTGGAAATATGTTGACTCTTGGTGTATACACTGTAGGTTATGCAGCAACCGATTGTAATAACAATACTGGATACTGTCAATTTACTGTTGAAGTTACAGGTAGAGTAGGTTTAATTTTGTTTAAATTATGTAAAAATAAGAATATATATGACGAATGTCGAAATTTCAATAGTTGGATATTACAAATTACTATCATGGTTGTTAATTTATATTTCAGGCAGTAACATTGATGATCTGTTTTGATCCTTTAGATTGTGAACCACCCGTAGTTGAATGTCCACTAAGTCAAAATGTAAGAGGTGATGACAATTGCCTGGCAAATGTCACTTGGTCAATCCCGACTGTTACTGACAACTCTGGAAATAGTTTCAACGCAATATGTGATTATGTGAATGGAAGCACTTTTTCTTATTTCAGCACCATTGTAACCTGCAATGCTACTGATAATCATGACAACACTGACAATTGTACCTTTACAATTATTGTCTATGGTAATATATATTTTATGCTGATGTGATTGTTAAGGTATAAGCTTTCGAAAACGTTTTTGGTATGAGACGATTATATACACAATTTTCTAATGGAGATTCATATATGATACAGACAAGCACTTATAAGTGTTACCAGGGTAGGAAGCTGGCAGGTCTAAATCTACTAGCCTAAATGAGCATGATGTGTGGTATTTTTACACTTATGAGGCCGATAAGCACAATGTTCACATGCTCAGACATATTTCGAAGTGAAACCTCCTCACTGTTTCAATTGAAGTTGGGAGTTAATCAACCGTAAACAAAGATAAACAAAATATGCTTTGGGAGTACATCAATGCTAGGCATATAGTTAGGCATAGGTGAGAATTACGGTACTATAAAAGAAATTCAGAAATAGGGGTAATAATTTCACTTGTCATGCAAATCAGTCATACTTAAAAACTAAATATTCTACCAATGAAAACTCGTCTGTTTGTTAACATATAAGGTATTTTCACAAAATAGATAAATTTAAATTGATGTGACTTTTTTTAGTATTACAATGAACACTACATAATCCATGTCAAACTGCATATAAAAAATAAATAAAATTACAAAAAACAAATTAGAATGAAGTTATAAAATAATTAGCGTACTAAAATTATTTATATACTTACTTACTTACGTATACAAAATAAAAATGTATTGTTCACAAAAAGATATTTTTGATTTTAAGTACAAATTCAACACCCTTTACAGATTTCAATACATGATACACTTCTGAGCATGTTTAGAGCTTCTAAACTTTTAATTAGCCTAACAATACCTCATATACACAAGGTTCATTCAGGCCAGACGGCTTAGACTAGTCAGCATCCTATCCTGGTAACAGTTATAAGTCCTTAAAAAAGAGAATTTTTTTTTCTTTTAATAAATCACTTATATAAACAAATTAAAACTATCACATTATTCACCGTGGTAAATGGTAATTAACAATGGTACTGGAGTTAAAAACTCTCATATTATAAATATTATGAAAAAATAAATACATTATGAAAAACCGCTAGCTCTTTCAAGCTGATATATATATATAAACAAATTATACAGGTTCACAACAAATTTATAACCCGTTTTCTGTTTATCTAGATGATGAAGACCCAGTCATATCTTGTCCATCAGACATATGGATATGTGCTTTAACTGGTTACAAAACAACACCTGTAACTTGGGAAACAATAAATGCAACTAACTATGTCAACATAACATCTAATTATACATCAGGAGAGGAATTTGAAATTGGTGAAACTGTAGTAACATACACAGCAACAGACTGTGGTGAAAACAGTGCATCTTGCAATTTTACCGTTGTTGTCTTGGGTGAGTATACACATTTGATGTGGCCTTCAAATACTTTAATTTTTTAAACCTTAAACGTATATTTAGTGGAGTTGATTGGCCGAGCGATTAAGTCAGGGCACCATATTCTTCAGCTGTAATATCGGCGCTGGTTCGAACGGCTCACTTGCCAATGGTTCCTGTGGTTGAACAAGTCTTCTCGGATAAGGACTTTAAACCGTAGGCCCAGTGTACGCATTTGGCTCGTGTGCACTTTAAAGAACCCAATACATCCTCCGAGAAGATGCTGGTCCATTAAGTCCCTTGTTGTTAAATGGATATGCCACGTAAGACAGCGTTTAAGTTCACTTATTGGCATATCATTGACGCTCGTTCATAAAGAAAAGGAAATTAAATGAAACATCTATTGTTACTTTAGATTGTGAAGCGCCTGTCTTGAATTGTTCTGACCTCACATACAATGCTGATAATAGTTGTAATTCTTATGTAAACTTGAGTGGAGTAACAGCAAGTGATAACTATATCAGTGATGTACCTATATTTTGCAACCAAAGTGAGGGAATATTTTCAATGGGCAACTACACAGTCAATTGTAATGCTTCAGATACGACAGGAAACACTGGAAATTGCTCATTCGATGTTTATATTTTTGGTGAGTATTATGCATATGTAACCATACAGATTTTTATGGGATACAGCAAGATTATTAGAAAGCAAGCTTGTTTTAGCAGTACATCAGACGTTATATTGCGATAAATTTGAGCGTTTTCTGTCCTTCTGAATATTTGTGACACAATTCATGACCAAAGTAATAAAAAATACCTTACTCATAAGCGCCATTTACTCTGTAAGAAGTCAAATGCATCAGGCATATTAAGTACTGTACTATTTGCCAAATTGCTATTGATATTAGGTAGTTTTCGGTGTAGGAATTTAACTTTAACCCAACATGCAACGCAAATGCTCCGCCCCTTCTGTAAACAAATCGAAATACGCATGCGCAATTCCGTAACTAATGTACGTCGAGCACGTAAAATCCTAAAATTATCCTAAATTATGACGTCATCAGTTAACGTTAAGGTTAATGTCGTGCGGCGAAAACTACCTATTAACTGCAACTACGACTTAACGTATAATTATAATGATTACATTTATTTTGTTGTTGTATTTATCAGTTGTACAAAAAGTACACACACATACAATTTTAAAAGCAACAAAAGTTACAATTACATAGTTCTACATTTTGTGAGACTATGTGTATTGGAAATTTCAAATGCAGATTCATATTATTTTTATTTTTTGAAAAAGACGATTGTTATTATTAATGATTACAAGTTAATAATTTTATCACAGATAAAACAGCCCCGAATATCACTTGTCCAGATGACATTAGGGTGTGCACAGATGTAAACAGTTATTCAGTTAATGTCACTTGGGAGGGAGTCAATACAACTGACAATTGTTGTAGTAACATCAGCACAACTAGTAACTACAGCAGTGGAGACATTTTTTATATTGGAGTTTACATAGTAGAATATACGGCAATGGATTGTAATGGTAATACTGGCTACTGTCAATTTACCGTTGAAGTTGAAGGTATTTCGAACTCATTTATATTAATGCAAACATAATAAGTTTACAAATTTATGTTATTATAATGATTGAAATGATTAATTTAAAGATATTTGCATATTTTGTTTGTTGATTCTAAATTTGTATAGATTGTGAACCTCCGGTAATTGAATGTCCACCAAGCCAAGATGTAACAGATAATGAAAATTGTCTTGCAAATGTCACATGGACCTTACCGATTGTCACTGACAATTCTGGGGATACTTTTATACCAGTATGTGATTATGTGAATGGAAGCACATTTTCTTATCCCAGTACCATTGTAACCTGCACTGCGAACGACAACTATGACAACATTGCTAATTGTACCTTTACGATCATCATCATATATGGTAATATAGAAAATATTAACATGTGAAGTGTCAAGATAGTTTGGTGTTTAAATATAATATTCCTAATTCTAGTGGTTTAGTTTTAAATTCGTGAGATTTTGACCGCCTGAAATACAATAGCTTAATTATTGCCCAAAAGAGAAATAAAAAAAAACAATCTTAAATCTTTGAATAAAAATTAATAATTAATTGCTCAATTAAAATAAATACAGTCTGTATTTTTGGGGAAAAAGTTTCTTTTTATATATATTTTTTTTAAATTTCTGTTTTTTTTTATTTTGTTTTTGTTTTTTCTTTCTAGTTTTAATTTTTAATTGAGAATTAATAACTTATTGAAGTTTATTTATTGCGTTCATTTTTATTTCAAAGTTTATTAGACTTTTATGGCAGTAGGCCTATAACAAATCTCCAGTACAAAAAATTTATTCATAATGACTTGGAGTTTATCTATAAGTTCACTATTTTCTATTTAAATAGATGGTGAAGACCCAGCCATATCTTGTCCAGCTGACATAGAGATTTGTGCTGTAACTGGTTACATTACGTCTCCAGTATTTTGGGAACCAATCAACGCAACTGGAAATGTTGAAATAAAGTCTAATTATTCATCAGGAGAGGACTTTAAAATTGGTGAAACTGTAGTAAGATATACAGCCACAGATTGTAGGGTAAAAAGTGCATCATGTGCTTTTTCTATTGTAATTTTAGGTAATGTACACATTTCATTGTATTTGTATCAGAAATAATTAGTTCTATTTTAGGCCTACATTATTTCTATTTCTACATATTATATATTATATTTTTTTATTTAGATTGTGAAGCTCCTGCCTTAAACTGTTCTGATCTCACATTTTATGCTAATGAGGATTGCCAATCATATGTGAACTGGACAGTGGCAGTAACAGATAACTATGAACGTGATTTGATTGTGTTTTGTAACGTAACCCAAGGTATATTTCCATTGGGCAACTACACAGTTAGCTGTAATGCGACAGACATGGCAAACAACACTGGCACTTGCTTATTTAATTTTTATATTGTCGGTAGGTATTTTCATTAATGCTATGATTATTAGGAAGTGTTTTTTATCGAAATTTCTGTCACATTTTCCTACTCTATGGACTTTATAAACCGGATGTTTTATTCCAGACATTTTTCGCAGTTTTCTCACATTTAGTATTAATTGTATAAATAACCGTTTAGTATTTAGTAATAAATAATTATTATTATTAATTTGTTAATTTGGTATTATTTGTATCAGCAATTGGTAATTTACAATTAGCAGTAATTGCAACTGTACCTGCTTCTGTGATGTGCAATAAATAATAAATTGGAATTTACAATAAATTGTAATTTAATGAGTAAATTGGTATTTCTGCTTCTAAGTAATTTATTGTATTCTGTTCTTCCATAGATGTTATTTCACCTATTGTGAAATGTCCAGACAATATCACAATTGACGCTGACGTAGGCGTTAATACAACGACGGTAACATGGAATTCTGCAGTGGTTAATGATAACTGTTGTGGAGATGATATTAGTTCGTTCTTTAATGCTACAAATGGAACTGAATTTTATATTGGAATTACTAAAGTAGGATTCACGGCCATCGACTGCTATGGGAATGAGAATAAATGTGTATTTATTATTAATGTTAGAGGTATGTGTCTGTGATTTATTTATTTATTTATATTTTGGTGGTTAGGGAGGGGTTAAAGGTGTGGATGTGTGCCAGTATATTTTATGATATAATATTACAACTTATCTAAATGCTAAATGCTTGTATGCTATAACATTTACGATGCTTTCATGGTATTGTTTTTAAAATTAATATAATCTATAACGCATTGAAACGATTTATATTTTATCGTTTTGTTATCAGACAAGGAAGCACCAGTGCTTGAATGTCCTCGGAACCAGAATTTAGCAGGTGATTCTAACTGCATGGCTACTGCCACATGGAGTTCACCAAATGTTACAGATAATTCGGGGGATAATTTTATACCAATGTGTGAATATTTGAGTGGGAACTTATTTTCTGAATACAGTACCACTGTAACCTGCAGTGCCACAGACAACTTTGAAAATACCGGCAATTGTACATTTAATGTTACAATCTATGGTAAGATTCATTCATTCTACATTTAATTCAACTTACTTATTACTGTTATAACATGGAGCACTATGTTAATCTATTTATTTGTTAATAATAACTTGTTATTGTTAATTTTAAGTAATTTATTTTCAACGTTTTGAAAAAAAGTTTAATATATTTATGTATTTTCATAATTTATGATTTTACAGTTCGGAGATTTATTTACATAGTATGTAAATGATTTGATGTAAAAATAAATCAAAAGGATTCAACTTTTAAAGTTTATTTAAAAAAAAAATATAAAGTTTAAAGAATTTCTGTTGTCCGAGCAAAATGTTTTAATTTAAAAAGAAAGAACAATACCTGGATTGACAGAATGTTATTTATCCCCTCGGTAGATAGTAAATTTGATCCAGAGTATAGAACTGTATGCATGTGCAGAATTGTTCTTTATGAATATTTAGAGCTCTTTCTGTTTTTTGTGTTTCCGGTTTCAAAATTAATATTATAGCTAGCTTTCTGATTTTATCTCAATAGATGATGCAGATCCAGTAATATTATGCCCACCTGGGATAGAGATCAGCACTTCAACTGGTAAAACAACAGCACCTGTATATTGGGAACCAATCAACGCAACAGACAACTGCTGTGATGTCAGAATTACATCAAATAATACATCAGGAGAGCTTTTTGAAATTGGTGAATATGTATTAACATATACAGCAACTGATTGTAATGAACACCAAGCATCATGTAATTTCACAATAGAAGTTTTGGGTAAGTGCAAACACATCGTGTAAGATATTCAACACATGTATTGCTTTTAATTACAGCTTAGATAATAACATATACAGTAGGCAATAAATAAGTAACAAAGATTTGATTTAATTTTAACTCTGTTTTTAATTTAGATACTGAAAATCCTGTTATACTTTGCCCAATTGACTATAATGTGACAACAGATGTTGGACTACCTACAGCATTCATCAAATGGAATGTTACCTACACAGACAACACAGACGTTTTGTATGATGTAAAATTAACAGGACCTGGTACAAGGTATAATCACTCAGGAGAAACTTTTGTAATTGGAACAACAACACTTGAGTATACAGCAACAGATGCATTTGGAAATAATAATACCTGTACATTTGTCGTCATTGTAAGAGGTACATATCTTTTTTTTAAGTAATATTTTGTCAAAATTTTGACTTTCAAAAGTTAATACAGTCAATAATGTTATTCCAACATTATTTACAGTTCGCAAAATTGGTCTGTAGTATTGTTTAAAGAAGCATTCGCTATATGTAGGCTACACCCGTTGCTTAACAATTGGCTGAAAGCTTCAAATAAGCTTTCTTTGTTTTTGTAGGTAACTTTGATCAGTAGTGTAAGGATGCTTTGATCTTCAGTTTATTCATAGCTATATCACCTACTAGGGGTAATGTTTTGATTGGTCAAACACTTATAGTACAGTACCTGTGCATATAAGCTTGCAAATATGGATAATTTTTCGATTCTGATGATGACATAATTAATGTTGAAATATTGAATCCCGACACGATGCCGTGCATTTCGATACATGGAGTATGTATTATACTACTGTATCTTATCTGAGATTAATCAGTGGACTGTTCGGTTTTATTACTTTAACTGTAGTTCTTAATCGCCTATTCAGAAAAATCCTCACTTTTAAAGGAAAAACTCACAAAAGATATCCTGATTTTTGTAATTCTTGGCTCAATACCACGGGCTCTATTGCCAAATGTGTGCAATGTAAATACATTTAAAAAAAACATTTAAAATTTCCTAGTAGTTCTAAGAGATTGTGAACTTTACGATATTTTAAATTTATATTCGTTATCATTGCAATGGTTACAACTCGAGTTCATTCTTGATATTTTTTCCGCTTGTTTTAAAAATGGAAAATGGAAAAGTATTTAGCATCAATAAAATAAAATTAACACAGGCGTTTTATTTGGAAGTTAAGGATAATTTGACACTTCCAATTTACGATGGGTGGAGCTCGGGTTGGTGTAAATCGTCTAATAGGCACTATTTTAAAATAAAATGTGACTATTAGTTTAAGAGATAAGAAAAGTTGAGATGTATAGTCTTTTAAATATTATTTAGCAGAAGAAGTAAAATATCAGGTTTTCATTAGATGTCAAATTAAAAGTTTTTGTAAACACTACAATAATTTAGTATTAAATTTACCTCCTGTATTGATTTAAAAATCAGTATTTACTATAGCAATATATCTAACAGATGCTGAAAGTCCTGTCATTAATAATTGTCCAAGAAACATCTATGTGAACACTACAACCATGCTGCACTACGCGAATGTAACATGGATTGCGCCAAATGCTACGGACAATTCAGGCAACGTAACCCTGGAAACAACTTATACATCTGGTGAAGGTTTCCCTCTATCAACAACTAATGTCGTATACACTGCTACTGATCCATATGGTAACACAGCTCTTTGTTCTTTTGATGTGAATGTTATAGGTTAGTAATCATTTTTTTATTTCCATTTTTCTTGATAATGTATTGTTTGTTTATTATTTACACAAAATTATTTTTACTATACATTTTTGTCTACTTTGTATTAGCCTAATTTAAAAATGTATTTTCTATTTTGTAGATCCAGAGATGCCCTTGTTTATAAACTGCCCAGTAAATATAGAGACAAATACAATTCCAAGCCTTTCATATGCCAACGTAACTTGGCACGAACCAACTGCCATAGATAACTCAGGTCGTGTTAATGTCGTTCAGTCAGCATACCCTGGTAATATATTTGGTGTTGGTACTCATACAGTTAATTACACTGCAACTGATGTGGATGGTAATGTGGCTGAATGCCTGTTTACGATATCTGTGTCTGGTAAATAACTTAATAAATATATGTATAGTAGTGTATTACCATTTGGTTATTCAACTTAGTGTTTTACTTATACCCCCTTCACACTGAACTAGTTCGAAGAACGTTCCTGCCCTTTCTGAAAATTTCATGAAACGGGATGTGAACGGATTCAAACGTGGAATTTTGGCTTTTACTACGACACAACACAGTTTGAAGTAAGTCAATTACGATTGCAGACGACTTGTACAACGTTCGCACAACATTTAAAACGAGACGACGTTACGCTCAATGTCGTTTGCAGTCCGTTCTTAACAAGTTACAATCCGTCCTCAATCCGTTCAACCCCGTTCACAGTAAGTTTCAACTTGTTCTAGGAGGCTTCTACACGGTTCGCACTACGACGTGTCCGTTCAAACCAGTTCATGCTCAGTCTTGCCCGTTTACACTGCGTTCTCAGGCAGTCTTTTACACGTTCAGAACGGGGAGCTGAGTCATTTTCCAGTCCGATCTGCTGTAATACGACCCATATCTAGCCCGTTCTCATTTCGATTCAGTACTTGCTATTGTAAACATAGCAAGGAAACAGAAGAGGAAAGGGAGTTGAACCTTGAAGAAATATATAGATGATTTTCCTGCTGATGACGATGCTGGCCCATCTACTCTTACTGCTGATCAAGACAAAGAGGAGGAAGTTCTAGGGAGTGAGGCACCATCAATTCAAGAGAGCAAGAAAAAAAGGTCAAAACACTGGCACACCATGGTCAAATAATATATTGTAACAATAACAATTCAGTCAGTGAGTTAATTTCCAAATGAGGAGGGCATCATTGATCTGCACTATTTATAACAAAAACTTTGCTGATTCGACTGCAAACGGGGTGGACGTAGTAAAAATGTAGTAGAAACGAGTAGAACTGACTAAAAACTGATTAAACGTATTGACTATGTAATAGAAACGAGGAGATCTGACTAAAAACGGGTTGTACGTACTGGCAATGTAGTAGAAAGGAGTAGATCTGAATAAAAACTGAGCAAGAACTGTTTAGAACTGAATAGCAACGTATCACAAACGTATAAACTAGTTAACACGGCTTAAGAACGCAGTGAAGACGTAATGGAATGTAGGGTGGAACGTAACAGCATTTGTATTGGATCGTACACCTATCGTTCCTCCGTTCGCACGACGTTCAGCTCGTTTTTGACGGTTCGTTCCATGTTCGCAGTACGGCAATTCCGTTTTCAATACGACAATCTCGACCTTACTCAGTCCTATTTTTGAACGGGTAGAGCGCGATCGAATTTTAAACATAGTTGACGTTCTGAACCATCATAGTGTTCGAACTAAGATTGTATTCGGTCTCTACTACGTCCATTCCGTTCGTATCCCGTTCGTTCCCGTTCCACCCCGTTCTCCAGAACGTAGTGCGAACTAGTTCAGTGTGAAGGGGCATTACAGACATTTGTTTAGATTTTCTTTCCTCATTTGGGAGCAAACTTCAATATTGGAGGCTTCTGCTCCACTACCTCTAGTCTGAGTTGCTATTCTATACATTGGCCTCTTGTGCAATCACTAACATATGTATTTAAACAATTTTATTTTCTTCTTTCTTTCTTTATTGTATACGCAAAAAACGAACAAATGGTATACAATAGGAGCCAAGAAATAGACAAGTCTAATCGAGCTTGGCCCCAATAAATAAAATAGAATAAAATAAATATATAAATAAAATAATGAAAATAAATAAATAGGCATCAATCTTCATACTCGGAATAAAGTAATTTTTTCAGTTTTGAAACAAAAAAATTCCTCAAGATAGTCTCTCTTAACTTAACAGGTATTGTATTCCAGAGTTTAGCACCCATATAAGAAATTCTAAATTTATCTAAATTAGTTCGGCATTTTGATATGGCTAAATTATATTCGTAATTAAACCTTGTTGCATAACCATGACAAATATTTTCAAAATAATCAGATAAACTATGTGGTAATCTGTTATTAAATAAGTCTGATATAAAATTCAAAATATATAATTTATGAAGCTTAAGTACGTCTAAAATGTTAAGTTTTTTAAATAAAGGTACAGAATGAGCCCTAAATTTAGAAAAAGTAATACATCTGGCACACATTTTTTGAGTGAGTAATAAAGGTTTCAAATGCGATTCGTAGGTGCTGCCCCATACCTCAATACCAAAAATTTTAATTATCTTAACATTTTAAAATGTCACCAGTGATGATATTTTTAGATGTTTTTTAAACATGATGTTCAAGAAGACACTAAAATTTTATTTCCTAACAAGATAATGAGAGACCAGTGTTTAAATGCAACATAACAAATGTCACAGTAGAAGTAGATTTTGATAGTTTAACTTCCACGGCTAACTGGACATTGGAGAATGCAACTGATAATGTGGGTGTGGTCAGCAAAACTCAGACTCATAACCAATCACATGCGTTTGAGATTGGTACTACAGTAGTTACTTATACAGCAACAGACGCTGCTGGAAATGTAGGAACATGTTCTTTCGAAGTTATTGTATTAGGTGAGATTGAGTTTTTTTATGATATATATTTTTTTTAATTGCACATTGTCTTATGTTTGTTTGTTTTTACTTTTGGTAGGCCTACAAATAGATGTATTTATCGATATTTGGATTATGAAGTTAACAAAAGACATTGATGATAATGTTTTCTTTAACAGATTTAATACCTCCTGTTTTGGATTGTGTCATAAATGTAACTGCCTATACTGATCCAGATTCAGCAACTGCAATCGTTTACTGGATGTTACCGACTGTATCTGACAATAGTGGTATTAGTCCGACTCTTGAATCTAACTTTGGACCCAACAATCGGTTCGATATTGGTACACATGTAGTGATTTACAATTCCACCGATGGATCTAATAATTATGCAAGTTGCTCTTTTAATGTGACTGTAATTGGTAAGATATGCACTCCACGTCGACAAGACCGTATCCAATAAATTTAAAATGATAGTTTATTTTTTTCTTACTATACTTCTATTTTTTTTTAAGATAACGTGAATCCATTGTTTCATTGTCCCAAAGACATCACCAAGGCTTTAACAGATTTAGGAAAACCTTATTCCACTGTATTTTGGAATGTCACAGTTACTGATAACTCAGGTCCTGTAACGCTCAACTGCTCCAGAGAATCTGGTGATCACTTTAATATCATATGGCCAACTGTAGAAGAAAATGTTACTTGTGTTGCGAAAGATTCGTTTGACAACACTGCATTGTGTACATTTACTGTGACAGTTTTTGGTAAACCATTCATTGTTTATTATATTATTAAATTATATTATTGTAATTGTTATGATTATACTTATATCTAAATGGAAAATTATAATAATAATAATAATAATAATAATAATAATAATAATAATAATAATAATAACAGCTGAATGATGCTGTTTTGACTACAGAAAAAGCTCGGACTCAGACAAAAGACTCTGAAATGTAACTTTTTCACTATCAGTAATAATAATAATAATAATAATAATAATAATAATAAATTGATATATCCATAGTACAATGCATATATTTATTATGCTAATAATATTGACAATAATTTAATTTGTGCTAACTAATAATCCTACGTGTTATTTTATTTTCTAAAAATTATTCCTAGATGAAGAGTATCCTGAAATTAATTGTCCAAAAGATTTTGATTTGAAAACTGATTCCGGGAATTCAACCGCCGTTTTTGGATGGGAAGTTACATATTCACTGTCAATAATAATAATAATAATAATAATAATAATAATAATAATAATAATAATAATAATAATAATAATAATAATAATAATAATAACAATAATAATAATAATAATAATAATAACAATAATAATTACAATAACAACAACAACAACAACAATAAAAATAAATTGATATATTCATAGTACAATGAATATATTTATTATGCTAATAATATGGACAATAGTTTAATTTGATATTTTGAATTATTGTTGTGCTAACTAATAACCCTCCACGTTATTTTGTTTTCTAAAAATTAACTCTAGATGAAGAGTATCCTGAAATTAATTGTCCAGATGATTTTAATTTGAAAACTGATTCCGGGAATTCAACCGCCGTTATTGGATGGGAAGTTACATATTCAGACAACAGTGACAGTTTATATGCAGTTACAGTAACAGGCTCTGGTACAAGATATAACCAATCAAGAACAGAATTTCCGATTGGAATTACCGAGATTGAGTATTTAGCAGCAGATGTGTCCAGAAACAACAATAGCTGTTCTTTCATAGTGCTTGTAGAAGGTTAGTATACTTAGTCAAAACCAAACACCGGTACAGACAACGACATGCGACGGAGCGCGATTTTATTTTTATTTTTGCCTCACTTAACTGTTTGCTTTCAGTTGTCGGTAGACAATAAAAAAAAAACTCATAATTTAAGTAGAAGATGTCTCATAGTATTTTCTAAAGATTTAATATTACAACTAGTAAGCCTAACAGTGTTAAATGAAACAAGCAATAAAGTGTCTTTGTGCATATTAGCATTTACATTACCTGCAATCTATTGGTATTATACTTATCTCCATTATTATACCAATAATTAGTATAAGATATATCGAACAGATGTTGAAGATCCAGTGATTATTGGTTGTCCAAGAGACATATTTGCGAATACTACACATCTGTTGTCCTACACAAACGTGACATGGATTGCTCCAACTGCAACAGACAATTCTGGGAGTGTTACCCTAAAAACAAATTATGCATCTGGAGAAGGTTTCCCAATATCAACGACTACCGTTGTATACACAGCTATTAGGGATTTTTCGTTTTGACTACGCGGCCAATCTACTACGCACTAATGGAGCGTTACAGACATCTGCGCATGCTCATAAACCTTACTGACTAAATCTGCGTTGTGATAGCTCTCGCGACTACCCCAAATTCTGAATTTAGCGTTGTGGTGACTACCCTACTATCGACCAATCAGATCACTGGATTGTATGGCCAAAACGGCTGGTGATCTTTTTGCGAATGTGTTTACGAATACGTGTCATCGAATGGTGATGTTCGTTCGTTCATCATTAAAACAAGTAAGTAATATAAGGATTTTAAGGCGACATATTAAATAAAAAACATATAATAAATGAGGAATGAATAATTGCTATTGATCCATATGGCAACACAGTGACGTGTTCTTTTAATGTGACAGTGATAGGTGAGTATCCAATAATAAAGTGAAATAGTTTTTCCTATTTTTCCTAATAAAATATATAGTTTTTGTTTTATAATAGACAATTTCTTAAATATATGCTTAATTTTTAAGATCCGGAGATGCCTAGGTTTACAAAGTGTTTAACGGATATACAGACAGATACCTATCCAGGCCTTTCATATACCAACGTGACATGGACAGAACCAACTGCCGTTGATAACGCTGGACATGTTATTGTTGCTCAGACAGCATACTCTGGTGATAGTTTTAATGTAGGCAATCATAAAGTTACGTATACTGCAACAGATGAAGATGGCAACATGGCCGAATGTTCTTTTACAATCTTCGTTGAAGGTAAATTGTATAAATGTTTCCCATTCTATAACATCTTTTAATTGTTCTTGAACTATACAATGTTTCATGAATATTATGCCCATAAACTATATTTCAAATAAGATTGACCTATGACTTATATTTCGTTTATTACAATTATTATTTAAGATAATGAGCAACCTATATTTAATTGCAACATCACTAACATGACCACCTACGTGGATATCGATAGTTCTACATCCATAATTAACTGGACATTGGAAGATGCAACTGATAATGTGGGTGTGATCAGCATGACCCTGAACTACAACCAGTCACATGCCTTTGAGATTGGTACGACAGTAGTTATGTACACAGCAACTGATGCTGCTGGAAATAAAGGAATATGCTCGTTTGAAGTCGTAGTAATAGGTATGATTTTGGTAGTCTCCTGATGATTGAATTTGTATTTAAGTCTACAGTGATAATTATAGTTTTGGTAATTGTTGTGTTTATCAAAAACAAATCGCCACATTGCTGTATTCAGATACTAAATATAGTTATTATATAGTATAATTTCTCTTTTGTTTGTCCGACAGATAACATAAAACCGGTTATAAATTGCGTGCCAAATGTGACAGTTTCTACTGATAGAAATTCACCAACTGCCAACGTTTCATGGGATTTACCGAAAACTTATGACAACAGTGGTACTAATCCGACGCTAAATTCGAACTTCGAACCTTATACTTTATTTAGTATTGGTTTAACTAAGGTGATGTACACGGCTACAGATGGATCTAACAATACAGATTCATGCTTAATTGAAATTAATGTTATTGGTAAGATCCTTTAATTTGTTATTTAAAAAAATGTGTTTTTTTTTTTAGATTGTATAGGCTGATAATACCTGAAACTTAATCCAATATTTGTCTGGTCATAGATATGGAAGATCCAATTCTTGTATGTCCATCGACGCTCTCTACTGAAACTGATACCAGAAGCGCAAATGCCATTGTAACGTGGGTGATTCAAGTTGAAGACAACTCAAGAGATTTTAAAATAATGTCAACGCATTCACCAGGATATGTCTTTCCAATTGGAGTTACAACTGTCGAGTATAAAGCACAGGATATTTCTGGAAATACAGCTGAGTGTTCTTTTAACGTCATTGTCAAAGGTAATAATGTATTTAATAGTTGTCTATGAATATTTTTCCAGTTTGTATTGAGCTAAAAAAAAAAACGCATTTGAACTATTTTTGTCTACATAATTTTCTGCATTTTATTTACAATGTAGAGTAATAAAATATATTTTTTTCAATTAACCGAATATTTATAATAGTTACTTGAAGTGTCTTCTGCCAATATGCCAACAAGAGTTGTGACATAGTATTGATTTTGACTTAGCCTATAAAAATTAATAAGTATTTTACAGGTAATGGCTTAGCTGTATTCAATTATGTGAAGGATTAATATCTCTCAGTTATAATTAGGCGTTAGTAAAGCATTGTTAAGACAAACTAGTTTATATTTTAATATATTCATTTACGACCTAGCGAAGTCACTAAACATCACACCACCAGGCAAACCTATAATTTCAGATATAGGAACACTCACATAAGCAGTATTACGCTTTACTGATTTTATTCTGAACACTCTTCCTAATAATATACCTAGTTACACAAAGGACACTACGCACTTCCTTAACAAATTAAAAGAAATATCCCACTTTGACGATGATGCTTTACTCGTAACCATGGACGTATGCTCGCTTTACACTAATAATCCCATGGCGAAGGGATAACTGCTTGCGAAAGATTTCTCACGGACCACATTTCCAAATTACCAGCTAAGGACATTTGCAGTATAATCGACTTTATTTTTAATGGCACTTATTACCTCAATGGTCGGTGGTCATATATTTATATAGTTCCTTTCACAGAAAAAATGCCTCAAGGCGCTTTTTAAGCCACATAAAACAAAACAAAAATTAATAAATGAACAGGCGCGAACGCGAAGAGGCGGGAAAATGCGCACTCTCGATTTTGCAGTAGCGTCGCCATCACTACCGTTTACACGCAGGTACCTCGGCGTCAGTTTTTCTGGGCTCTGGTCGCTTCCACCGAAGATAAGCCTATAGCTTCCATACCGTGGCCGTGCACTGCTGAGTTTGCGGCGCCACCTTAAATAAGGAGGTGCTATTTTCCAGGGTCTATTACTACTGAACTACAGAAATTTAACTACTGAGATTAACTAATAAATGAGAATTATTAACCATGAGAATGTTAACTAAGATTGAAGAGATAATCTTTGTAAATACAATGAGTGAAGGTGCCTTACGAAGATCAGCCGGTAATGAATTCCACAACTTTGGGGCAGCTACAGTGAATGCCCTGTCGCCGTAGGTCTTGAAACGTGATGCGGGAACTGATAGTATAGATGTGTCAGTGGTTGATCTCAGAGACCGAGAACAGGTTGCAGAACTAGACTTCAGAATTTGAACAACATATTGAGGAGCATTATGGTTGATAGAATAATTGTGTGTGAGGAGTAAAATCTTAAATGAGATGCGCTTGTTTATCGGTAACGAGTCGAGTCATGTGGCCGAGCGGTAAGGCAGGGGCGCCGCTAGCTACAGCCTAAACATCGGCGCTGGTTCCAGCCGCTCCTCGCCCATGGTTCGGTTGGTAGAACCATGTCTTATCGAATAAGGACTTAAAATGGAGGTCCTGTGTATACATCTGGCTCGTGTGCACTTTAAAGAACCCATTGCATCTTTCGGAGGTAGGGGGGTTACCCCGATGTATTGGTTCATTTCAGCCCCTGTCCTTGTGGAATGATGTGAACATGTATATACCAAGAAGCGCCTCTTTACGGCTGCTATGTAGTCACGGACCACGCCCATACGCCATTCAGCACAGTGAAGCTGCAAGTTATGGGTTATTCTCCTACCTTTACCTTCAACCAGTGTAGTCAATTGAGGATAGGTGCATGTGCTCATGTCTAGATATTCCGGATGCAGTGTTAAGGCGTTGCTACAATCTTCTCAACCGACTAGCAGGAATACCACATAGAACAGCATTGCAGCAATCCAACCGAGATGTAATGAGAGCATGCACTAATCTAAGAAGAGCGTCATTAGTCAGGAACCTTTTAAAAGAGAACCAGCAAAATGATTTTTTGTTATAGAGAGGATTTTTGATATGCTATTAATAATAGAATCAACCTTAAAATCGTTTTTTGGCATTTTTAAAAAATGAAGTTACAGGCCATTATACGAGTTTACCCTGACATCACTGGCGAAAAAAGTAACAAAAGATCGTGTAAATAACGCCGCGTAGGGTATCCGCCGCGTACGATCTTTGCGTGCATGCTGTAAACATGGATGTAACTCTTTTGTTGACAACGCTGATGCAGTTAGCATGTCCTATGCATAATCAATACGTCAACCACGGAGGAATGTGTTTTACCCACATCAATATTTTTTTTTTATGCGTCAGTGGATTACTAGGCCTAAAATTTGTCGCGGGGATATTTTATAGCCTGGCACATCCTCTTTATTTATTGCAAATAAATAATATTGCTTACCTTTTAACGAAAGGGCTTATAATAACTGTGAGCATAGGACGAAGTGATGAATCCCCTTTATAGAGAATCTGAGAGACTGTCAAATGTTTGAGATGAAAAAAGTAGGCTAGGCTTTCTTTGAATTCGGCCTAATTGGCTGCTGTTATTCGTACTCGAAAGTAATTATTTGTCTTAAAGTCATAACATCTCATGTCGTCCAACTCAACTAAGCCGTAGTCGCTCATCTTCTGTTTGATATCCCTTTGTGCGCCGACAATTTGTTAATTAAATATGCTGCGTGTTTTCAAGAATCGGAATTATTAGTATAAATATATATTATTACATGTACATGGTAAAGTAGCTTATTCTAAAAGCGCTGGTCCAGTGATAAATGGTCCCTAATTCTTGTCTGACCCTAAAAACGCTTGTCTCGGGTTCGCTAATGTCAGATTTGACGTGGAAATCGAAGAAGCACATGATTACCAAGCTAATTTCTAAAATTACAGTAATCTTGTCGCTCGAAATACAAAAGAAGTTCAGTTTTCAGTATATTCCAAACATCTGCTTCCTTACAACACAGGCATTCTTCGATCGTTCGTATAGCATTAGCTGACATTGGCCACAAGCGCACCCGTTTAAATTATCGAGCCTACTTTCCACCTTTGCTCCTCATCAACTTTTGAATGGTAATTATGTGCTTCTTCGATTTTAACGTTATCTTTATTATGTCTTTCTGCTTTGAACGAAAAAAAAACACCCTTGGCTTATGTTCGGCCATTGCAATCTTCTTGAGACCGATGATGTCTAGATTATGCATAGGCTTATGACTTAATATGCATCAGCTGTTGTCAACAAACGAGTTACAGCCATGGTTACAGCATGCACACAAAGATCGTACGCGGCGGATACCCTACTCGGCACTATATTTATACGATCTTTTGTTACATTTTTCGCCAGTGACGTCACGGTAAAATCGTATATAATGTCCTATAACTTCATAAAAATAGCCAAAAAACGATTTTAAGGTTGATTCTATTATTATTGGCATATCAAATATTCCCTCTAGAACAAAAAAAAAAAAATCATTTTGCGAGTTTCCTTTTAATGTGCCTGATGTTACAGAGGTGATACGTAACGGACATGCAGATGTTGAATATGTGTTTCCCTATCGTCATAATAGAGTAAAAAACAACTCCAATATTGCAAATTTCTGATGATAGAAGAACATTAATCTCGGCTTCAATCGTAATGCTATTGATTGGAGGCGATGTTGAAAGGTATGCCTATATGGAATGAATACAAAGTACTTCAGTCTTGTCAGGATTGAAGCAGAGCATAATATTTTGCGATCTCTAAGACATGCTTCATTTATATATTTTGCCTCGGACCAAAGCTTAATTGAAGGCTAATATACAGTTAAGTATCATCGGCGTATGCATGATACTGTGACTACTAATAAGTTTACTCAGTGGGCCAACACACAATACAAATAATATTGATCCGAATATAAACCCCTGGGGGGCCACCACAGATTATATCGGTACAAGCCGCGGAACTACATCAAATGCGAACCTGTTGTTTCCTAGAGGTGAGATATGATTTAAACCATGACCTGTTCCATCGATGCCAACAGATGATATTCTATGAATAAGAATGGGATGGCCGATAGTGTCAAAAGCGACACTGAGATCAATGAAGATAACAAGGATTAAACAACCCCTATCAAGATCAGCAATAATATCATTGTGAATTTAACTATTGCCGTTTTAGTGCTGTAAAATTTTCTGTAAGCAGATTGCAAGGGGTCAATTTTTTTTTTCGTTGAGGAAACTACCGGTGCAGCGATGGGAACCAAAATGCCCCTTGCTATGCGAACGTTTTTATGGCGGAATTAGAGCATAAATTACTATCTAACCTACAATTTAAGCCCTCTCATTACTCACGCTATATTGATAATATATTCTATATTTGGAAACAATGTAAGAATAAGTTTATATTTTTTTATATCTATCATCAATAATTATCATCATAGTATTTAGTTCACTGTTGATTATTCCAATGAGGCTATCCCATTTATTGATGTATTAGTTGGCATGAACGGAGGCAATATATCTACATCAATATTACAAACCTACCGACAATCACCAATACTTTGATTTCTACAGCTACCTTCCTATCACTCTTAAACGGTCTATCGTGTACAGTCAATTTTCCAGACTCAAGCGAACCTGTTGGGACCCGGCGGACTATCAACAATAGCTCTCTCGCCTCACAGCTAATTTCTTGAATTGTCATTATCTCAAACTAATAATATCTGCCATATTAAAATCATCTGCTAAATCTCGCTCAGACATTTTGTCTTACACACATAGACCTGTCACCGATACCCGTATACCTAAGGTATTTGAACAAAGCCCCCTCATCAAATCGCTTGGTAACTCATTCCAGAACGACTACTAGACTCATCAGAAAGACTCCAATATACCTTCATCCTCCTATTCTAGCTCAACGTCAACACCCAATCTTAAATCCCTCCTCACTTCCTCAAAGTTACCCTCGGCTAATCTTACTCACGGCAATATGGCTTGTAACAGCAGACGATGCCAACTATTCACTATCATTACCATATCCAACAGGTTCAAAGTTCCTGGTACCGACATCACCATCCACCCTCCACCCTCTGCCCTCCGCCACTTTATTGCCATGCCTCCATTGTCGTATATAGTAATATTGCGCCCTATGTACCAAATTTACAATATAACTATGTATGTGAGACAGGGTATAAACCCCGTTTAAGAAACAACAATTTAAAAAATATCTGTCAGGAATAACTTAAAGGTTTTTCTATTAAGGATTTGAGGTTCATCATTATAGGGTCTAACTACGGATCCCTTAAGGAAAGACGGTGTGCTGAAATACGTTGGATCCTTTACCTTAAGTCGAATGTAAAGGAACTGAACGAAATAGGCTTTGTCAGCGATTACTTCTTTATATACATTTATATGTCACACGAGACAGGTGTATTATATTATATTAAGCGCTCTTTTTGATTACCATTATTTAAAATATATTTATGTTCCAGCAATGCGTCAACCTTTTTCTGTCACTCGTGATAGTCCCAGTATATATACTGTCTCTTATACACATCTATATATATATATATATATATATATATATATATACATATATATATCTAAATCAGAGTTGCTGCATAGACAGATTTGTATATATAAAATAAGAAGTCAAACAAAGTTCTGTATCTGTCCAAATAAATATAGAGTTGCTGCATAGACAGATTTGTATATATAAAAAATGAAGTCAAACAATGTTCTGTATCTGTATATTTTTTAAGAAACTAGAAAATAAAATTAACATCCTTTGCAATGGTAAAGATGAGTACACGTTAATGGGTTGTGATATGAATAATAGTATATTATAATATAAACTTGATCAGAGAAACAGTATAAACCTCAGTTATGACAAATCCCCACTGATGCTAAAAAATTGCATGACCAAACATAATCTTTCCGATATTTGGAGGAAATGCAATAAAAGCAAACACAATTTACATGGAGAAGAAAAAATACGTACAAAATGTTGGATTTTTGGTGCATATCTAACTCCCTATACAAAAATGGTGAAGCAATAAACACCGATATAAGACCGTCTATTTTTTCAGACCATGAAGCCATATCACTTAGAATTTTAAATGATGAAGAAAAAAGAGGGCCCGGAATTTGGAAGCTAAATAGTAGCTTTTTAAATGAGGAGGAATATACCTTTAATATTTTAAAAGTAATAGAAAACACAATAGAAAATGGATATAATCTTAATCCAGCATTTCTTTGGGAATTCCTAAAAGTAAAGATTAAAGAATTTTCGTGTAAATATGGTAAAAAAAAAGGGGGGAAAATGAAAATAAAGAAAAATTACATAAAGAAATCGTAGAATTAACGCAATTAGATATTGCCTATGATAAGAAAAGAGATAAACTATTAAGAAATAAAATAAACGACCTAGACAATATATACTTATTTGAGGCTAAAGGAGCACAAACTAGATCTGGAATACAGTGGATTGAAAAAGGAGAAAAAAAAACACAAAGTTTTTTATTGGGCTAGAGAAAAACAATGCGAAAAAGAAACGCATCACATCTGTTTTAAAAAACAATGAAAATATACCACATACACTAATGAAATTCTTAAAGAACAAGTAAACTTCTTTAAACAACTTTATCAAATGAAAGAAATCCCTGACTCAAACATCCACAAAGATATCAACAGCTCCGTCGGCAACACAATGTCAGTCGAAGATAAAAATAAATGCGAAGGTCTATTAACACTTGAGGAATGTACAAATGCAGTTTTTAAAATGTGTTTAAATAAAAGTCCAGGTACAGATGTAAAATTTTACCGTAAATTTTGGGATGCAATTAGTTGCACAGTGTGTGAAGCCCTTAACTTTAGTTATGAAAATGGTAAATTATCAACAACACAACCAAGAGGTATTATAACCTTATTGTATAAAAAAGGCGAGCGAGAAAATTTAGCCGATTGGAGACCAATAACACTTCTAAATGTTGATTACAAAATAGCCGCTCACGTACTTGCAAATAGAATGCAATCTGTAATAAGTACAGTAATTAACCATGACCAAAAGGGATATATCCATGGTAGATTTGCGTGTGAAAGCATTAGATTGATCGAGGACTTACTTGAATATACAGACACTAATAATAAAGAGGGAGCTTTAATTTTTATTGACTTCGAAAAGGCCTTCGACTCTGTAGATAGAAACTTCATGCTGAAGTCTCTAAAATATTTTGACTTTGGAAAACAATTCATACATTGGGTAGAGGTAAGGTACACCGATACAGAAAGCTGCTGTATTAATAATGGGTGGACATCAGATAGTTTTATTATGAATAGCGGGATACGCCAAGGATGTCTCATGTCCTCTTTATTATTTGTTTTAGTTGTAGAGTTAATGGCAATTAACATAAGAAACAATCCTCTGTGTAAAGACGTTAAACTGCCGTCTTCAAACGAGGTTCTGAATACTGTTAAAATAGCACAAATTGCCGATGATACTGTGATTTTTGCAAAGGATGAAAATAGCATAGTTAGTTTCATTAAAGAAATTGAATTGTTTTGTGAAGTGTCAGATTTGAAACTGAATAAAAATAAAACGAAAGGTGTGTGGATTGGAAGTAATAAAAATAAGAAAGGTAATGCTTGTGACATCTCGTTCGTTCAAGAACCTATAAATATTTTTTGGAATATATAAAGGATACGATAAACTTGCAAAAAAAGGGGAAAATAAGTTTCTAATTTAGAGCACGTTTTAAAAACATGGGAAAAAAGAAATTTGTCCTTTTTTGGGAAAATTACAATTATACAGATATTCCCAAAATCTTTATCCCTAAGATTAATAACATTTTGTATAACTTCTTATGGAGTGGGAAAAAACAAAAATAAAACGAGATATAATTATACAAGATATTATGAAAGGAGGCCTAAAAAAATCTCAACACTGTAATCAATTCCCTTAAATTAAGTTGGGTAAAACGCTTAATAAGGTCTGACCCAGGTAAATGGAAATATATTCCATGCTTTTACATGTTTCTTGTAACACATACATTATGTATGACAGATATGAACTTCGAAAAGCATAGTTCATTAAAAGAGTTGCCTACATTTTATAGGAATATGCTTTATGTATGTGTCAAATACAATAATACACATGCTTCGCACCCACAATGTATCTGTGAAGTAAAAAAGCAAAGGCTTTGGGAAAATAAATTTATTCAGTTAAACGGAAAACCTATTTCTTTGTAAAACATGGGTAGAATCAAATTTTAAAACCATAAATGATATAATTGTAATTACCCGACTAATAAAGATTGATGAGATAATTCCAAAATTGTCAAAAACGCCAAATGCACTAATAGAATATGTGGCATTAATTAATGCAATTCCGAAAATATGGAAAGAAATTATTGTAAACCAATTTGTTTCTGTAATACATGGTGAAAAAGAATGTCAATCCAACGACACATTTATAAAAAAAAAAAAAAGTTAAAGATTTTTACTTATCATTCAATAATGATAAATATAGTGTACCAAAAGCTCAAAGTAAATGGGAAACTGCCTTACAAATCAACACAATCGACTGGCCACTGTGTTGGAAAAACAAAGTGAATTCAATGATGCATATAAAGAAAATTGCTCATTTCAACTATAAATTAATACACAGAATCTTACCTACACGATCTAGACTTAAACTGTGGAATATATCGAACAACAATCTTTGTGAGTTTTGCAATATACAGGAGGATGAAGAACATATGTTATTCAAATGTAAGGATATAGAATTTTGTTGGGTAAAACTTTATCGTATGTTAAAAAGAGGTAATTTTGATATAAATGAAAAAATAGAATGGAATAAAATTGTCCAAGGATGCTATGCTGAACGAAAAAATAAAATTCTATCTATTTTTACATTCTGTATCTATAAAAGTAAAGTTAAGTACAGACTCGGATTTGGGAAACAATGTCTTTGGGTTATGTTTTTATTGGAATTAAAGAGTTTAATAAGCTGTGATTTCTTAATTAAAAATGAAAAAGCAAAAAAGAAATGGTCAATGATTGCCTTAACAAAATAAAACAAATATTATATTGGTTAAACTCGGTGAAAACAATTTCACCATATTATAGTCTGAAGGGAAACCATTTCGAAAAAAAAATAATGTAGCCTATAAATATTGTATATAGTGTGTATAAATACAAACGAACAAACTTTAAAAAATAGGCTTAAACAAATCTCTAAAGCCGGACACTCACTGCATCGTACGAATCCACATTTGCTTCCAGTGAGCGACAGATGACGCAACGCCGCCTGCTGATTTTCAGTGGCAATCTGAACGGATCCTTATTAAAAAGACGATCGGTTGGGTCCACGTCTTTGCGTGCATTCTTCATCACGTTGCCGTCGCACGCAGTGAGTAACCGGCTTTAGATGTCTACATGGACTGTCTCTTATACACATCTAGATGTGTATAAGAGACAGAATACATGCCGTTCCGATAGTAAACAACTGTCTCTTATACACATCTAGATGTGTATAAGAGACAGCTGTCCGTATGCCAATTAAAAACAGTTTTGAAATATTTATTTATTTCCTTCTTTTCAGATACTGAAAAACCAAATCTTGTATGTCCTGACGATGTTATTAGTGATATTAAAAAGAATGTAAATTGGATTATTCCAAAACCAGAGGATAACTCTGATCAGACAGTGACACTGAATGCTTCTGCTTCACCCGATGATACTTGGGAACTCGGTGAACATACTGTTATTTATACTGCTACTGATAAATCTGGAAATGTTGACACGTGCTCGTTTATGGTGTTGGTCATTGGTGGGTGTAAACAAAACATATGACATTACTTTAATGTATTTTAATTTTTGTCCAGATTATGAATTTTTTGTTCACAGAAAACTGTTGTATTGTCCATATTCATGATGTTCCTATGATTATGATGTGATGTCATAATCATAGGAACATCATGAATATGGGCAATGCATATTCATATTATTGATGTTCCTATGATTATGATGGCATATTTAGGCATGTCACTTTATTTCTGTCAAATAAAATTTGATATTCTGTATAAGGCTTTTAGTAAATAAAAAAAAAAATATAATTATTGAATATAATTTTATCCATTGTTTATTTGTTATAAAGCTTGCTTGTTGTTGATCGTAATAATGGTTTTATATCTGGTATGTAAAATATTTGTACTATTTGACCATTTCTTTCGTTTCATTTTTAATAGATGCTTGCAATAATAATAATAATTGTCAAAATGGTGGTATTTGTCTGCCTAAAAATACAGGTTTTAAATGTTTATGTCAAACATTGTTTAAAGGATTCTTCTGCGAAATTAAACCGAGTAAGTAAATCATTATATATAATTTTAAAGCTCCTTAATCAAAATATTTTCACAGACACATTATTTATGAAAATGTTATTAATTATATTTAATATGATTTTATGTTGCAACGGCCTAAACTACATGCATCCGTTGGGAATATGCATTAATCATGTTTTGTTATTCTTATTTTTTAGTTTCTCTATACAACATACGTTGATTTGTTTGATTTGTTAATTCTCCAGAACCCCCAGTATTTACAGTTTCACCAAAGAGAGCAGAGGCTAACATTCAAGATACTGTCAGTCTTACTTGCTCATCGAGCAATTCAAGTAACTGGAAGTGGTATAAGGACAATAGTCCGATTGTATCAACAACAAATCTACATAATATAACAATTAGGATAACAGTTGATAATCAAGGATATTACTATTGCGGAGGATTTGGAGCTGGAGATTATAGTGCAACACAAAAGCATTCAAACAGAGTCCTATTGCTTGTAAAAGGTAAATAACTTAACTCCCGCCAGCATTCGTTATTATTTGCGGCTTAAAGAACCAATTGATGTAAATCATGCAGGCAAGTCTTTGAAAAATGTGCAAACATCTCGGTGGTTGTCTTGACAATAAGCTCAATTGGAAAAACCATATTAGTAACCTTAGCTGGTACGTCCGAATTTATTGATAAACTGACCGCACATTCAGTGGCGTAACGATGGGGCCGGAGGCCCTGTGTATTTCTGAAACTGGGGGCCCTTTTTGTGTCCCGGTCACCAATTCCATTGTGGGATTTTTAGGTGTTCATTGTTATTCTAATTTTTTTTTTTAACGACGAATAAATGATATAATATGCATCCAGAAAATTGAGGCCAGCGAGGGACTTTCACAGTTAGAGAGTCTATATACGGTGGCCCATAAGTGTCACGGCAACAACTTTCGAAATGTCACGGCATACTTTCAAAATTCACCGCACACTTTTAAAAACCACTGCACACTTTAAAAAATCACTGCACTTTAAAAACTAACGGCACACTTTCAAAATTCACGGTAACAAATTTTAAAATGTCACGTCAAACTTTCAAAATCACAACTTCCGCCATGGAAATTACAAATTCCGCTGTGAGGTTCACGGCGGAAGTGATTGTCTCACGGCGGAAGTGATAGAAATTAAAATTGTTAAAACTTTTGGCCACCGGTGGGAACATGGGAGTTGCTAAATAAAACCACTTCAGCCTGGGCTACATAAGTCGGACTAGGAGACCTAGCCAATGCCCAGTCCAGCTACCCTGTCACATTGTAGTCTATGCCTCATTTCACGTTAAGCTAGGCCTATGCAAAATATGACCCTGGCCTAGGCCCCTTCTCTCTATGCCTGGCTACTGAAGAATCCTGTACTGAATTATTATTTATTAAGTAAGTTTTATGCATTTACATTACAATACAGACATGTATAATATGATATGACATGATATCATTAATTATTTAAATTTCCGTCACCGTTTTCTTCTGGAATATAGACATATTATAGACATGGCCATCTTGTTTAAAAGCAATGAAACAATAAATATGATAAAAACAATAAACAGGGACATAGACAAGCTAACTTATTATTTTGTCTTACGGTTTGTACGGTACTGTATTTTGCTATGCCGTGTGAATACCCCTTCTTTTTTAAACTAAAACAACCACTTTAGCCGAGGGAGCGTGGTTATTTATAATGGTGACGACACGACACGCATAATTTCAGCTGTACTACGTATTAATTTATTCTTAATCTTCAGGACAGAGAGTGGGCCCTGGTAAACATTGGTAAACATGAAGTTTAGACTTATGATCGTTTTTTTTTTTATTTCCATGGCTACAGGTATATTCCAGAAGAGAAAGAGCGACGGACAGCTAATAAATAATAATTCAATTAAATATTACCTTTCTCATGTCTTGTATTGTAATTGTATAAAAGTTATTTATTAAATAATAATCAATATTCAGTACAGGATTCTTCAGTAGCCAGGCCTAGAGAGGGTGCCTAGGTCAGGGTCTTACAACAGATTCTGCATATGCCAAGCTTAACGTAAACGAGGCCTAAAACAATCTAAACTTCATGTTTACCAGGGCCCACTCTTTGTCTTGAAAATTAGGAATAAATTAATACGTAGCTGAAATTATGCGTGTCATGTCGTCACCATTAGCCACGCTCCCTCGGCTGAAGTGGTTGTTTAAGTTTTTAAAAAAAGGGGTTGGGGCTGGTAATCACACGGCATAGCAAAATACAGTACCATACAAA